GCAATAAAGATATTAGTAAGTATATTTTCTGTACTTAGGATAATACTTTTTTCGCATATATAGATAATCCCGGTCGACATTGGTTTGAAAATTTTTTCAAACGAAATTCGGATAAATTAAAGATGAAAAAAGAAATAAAATTAGAACGATCTCGTCGTGATAATTTCACAGAAGAAGTGCGTTCAAACTGGTTCAGTAAATTAAAAGGTATTCTTGATTTAAATAATTTACATGCTCGTCCAGCACAAATCTGGAATTGCGACGAGTCCGGATTTTCTGATGAAACTCAATGTAAGTTTTCTTTTTTTCTTATACTTAAATTTCCAGCTTTTCAACAGGTGAATATGTAGGTGTGCCAAGTGACACAAAATTTGTTTTTGAACAGCAAGGAGGAACTGGTAGAGCATTCACAACTATGTTACTGTGTACCAGTGCATGTGGTGATGTTCTTTCACCTTTAGTGGTTTATGCCGCAAAGGCTGTAAACTCACTTTGGTGCGCTGGTGGTGTTCCTGGTACAACTTATAAATGTTCTGAATCAGGTTGGATAACAGAAAAAGTTTTACGGATTGGGTGTGGGTGTGCGTGTGCGTGTGGGTGTGGGTGTGGGGTGTGGGTGTGGGTGTGAGTGTGGGTGTGGGTGTGGGGTGTGGGGTGTGCGTGTGGGTGTGGGTGTGGATTTTATCGTATCCTTACCCATACCCACACCTACACCCACACCCACACCCACACCCACACCCACACCCCCACACTCACACCCTTCTCAATGACCAATTCCTTAGATATAGATGGGAGTGTGGGTATGAGGTGTGCTTGGGTGGCGTGGGTATCGGATGTGGATATGAGTATGGTTTTATGGTTTTTCTGAACATAAACAGCATCTACATCTGTCCTATATTTGGAGCCTTGGTTTTGGAGTCATATTTTTTGACCATGAGAAATTGAGTTCCAGCAGTATATGTTCCAATATATAGCAGTCAGCTAAGTATCTATTACTCATAACTAATCATGCTCGAGAGAGATACTATCGTTTGCTTGAATGTTTTACACATGGCATATTTTGCTGTGATATGGTGAAACTAAACAGAGTTTGTGAGTATCACAATGGAGTCTAACTAAAGCTGTGCTAGCATTCTTAGCATTATTGATAGATGATACGAATATCTGTTCACGATTATAATACTCGCATCTACTACTTACGTTGTAAAAAGCAACGTGTATTGTTAACTGTAAACTCAAACAAAACCAACTAGTTTCTCAAGCAGAAGAATGGCGAACGATTTTTTTGCGTTCTTATTATTGCAAGCAAACTCATTTCGCTATCCTAACATAAACAAAGTCTTATCAATACTCCAATCAACTTTCTTTCTCTTTCGAAACCTGACAGAAAATGAAATGATTATTACTTCTAAAGCAACTGATTGCCACGTCTGATGCCGTTTGTAAAGTGCCCAAAAGTGCCGCACTTGCTGACCAAGAATATATATCAATCGAGACATTTTGACGAGAAACTGAACGCCTTGAGGATTTGTGAGCGTTGGTGAGTGTGGACGTGCATGTAGCTGTGGATACGGGTGAGATGGTAGACTACCCAAATAGGCGCAGACCCGCTTGCTGTTCACCTCCTTTGGAAAAAGCTTGTTAACACAGTCACACAAGAGTTAAATCGTAGGATCCACATATCTTCTTCAGCTTTATTACACTCATAAAGGAAGAAATCCCTGGTCTTTAAAAGTCGATCATTGCTTCTTTAGTAATTAATAGAAAACCAAGGATCTTTTTCATTTGCTTGACTTTAAAAAGTTACTTTCTACTAATTGGTACCATATTTTCATTACATCATTTCTCGTCATCTATTATTATTAAGTTTTGCCCGGATATGTGTACAATAAAAATTGAATTCACTTCTGAGATCAATCCCACACCCACAGCCGATGAATTACTGATGAAATGATCTTTTACCCCTACAGTCCAATAGCGATGTAGCGTGGGTATGAACGAATGAGTCCTGTTATCAACACATCCACATACCTAAGTCCTTATAGAACCTTGAATTTTTCTGTTACATCACTATTCTAGACGGTACATCAATGATATTGGATATTGATATTAGGAGTTCTGTTGAGAGTAACACGATACTTTGCAATTCGCTATTTTTCACTATTATTCTTTAATGTTTAAGCATGTAAGAGTGTTCTTCACTTTGGATATATCTGAATTTGCATAATGAGGACGGGATGTGGGTGTTGATGTCCATTTAGTTCGCGGATATACGCGTGCGCACACAATCGCACAGTCGATGTATGATTGCAGACCCGTACACGCACATCTCAAGTTTTCGAGAGTTGCTTGCATTCTGCATTCTGTAGTTTCCTTGATCTTTATTATGAACTTTTAGCAGTTTAGAAACCATAGAGTTAGGATACTTATGATATCTATGTCGTCTCTGATCTAGCAGAAGATGATGAATATAGTGGGACAAAAAGAAAGCATACTTATCATGTACTTAAGTGACAATTTCATGGGAATATAGCAAATGACACATTTTTGCCAACTTCAATGTCGTCGAATCGAATTTGCAATCGAAAGTGTGAATCAAATATGATCTTATATATAGCTATGTATTATTATTAAAATTTGCCTATGAGTAAATCGATCGACTGCCACCTGAGCTTGTAAGAGAATTTCTAGGTATGGCTACTGATTTGAAAAATAGCAAAACATCCACACCTGTATACTATCATCATAGGTCATCATTAGTTGATTTGTTAATATACTACTTAATTATGAAAAGTGATACATGTACCAAGAACAATATCTGATCCAAACTCCTTTGTAGTTATGAATGGATCAGACAATATTGGAATTGACGAAAATCAACATGTTCTTATAATAATCTATAAATCACTGAACTTATATCTGATGGACGAAACATCGCAATTTCACTTAAATGTTTATAAAGAAACAATGAGAAATTGATTGGATGAATTGAAGTCAATCATCAGTATCAATTTAGCATTTGTCCAACTCCTTTCTAATTGGTAGTAGTATGATGATATAATATCTGTGATTATAGCGTTATAAATACTCTGCCTAGTCTTAGATACCTTCATAATAAGTTACTAAAATCAACTAATTAAAAAACTGTACCAAATCAATTCAGTTACCTTTCCTTCCAGCCTCGTTGAATATTGTGTATGTAAGTTAAATTTCTTACTTTTCAAATGATTTATTTGTTAGTCTTTGTTTCTCTTTGAATTCTTTTCAAACATCCGAACAATTGGAGAGAATTGCACAAGGCAACACTAAAACATTCAAGGTAGAGAACACAAGACGGTTGCTTATTGTAAACAAAAACAAGTCATATTTTCAATTAAAAATTCAATTCCTAGGAAATATATACCCTATTTTATACTTCAATAAATAAAACTTGTATAATTATGGATATCAGACAAGTGGTCGGCAATCTAATGTAAAACTAATAACTTTCGATGCCGTTACTATTTTGTGCGTTGAATTTACATTTTAGAACACTTGAGTTAGTTACTAGGCAAAATATAAACTAAAAAATTCATTTTTTGGAGAGAGTTTCAAATGAATACACAAGTGAAAATTTAGAGTCTGTTATGTGGAATGTCAGCATATAAAACAAGAATCTTATTGAATACGTTTTAAAAGAGAAGAAAAGACTTTTAAATGAAGCTACCAACTCAGATATGTCACAAAGTTATTTTTGCCAATTGTTAGGATCTGCCATCTATACAATATAGATGGACGATCCTCCCTCCCATACATTATATATGATATATAATGTGATATAAGACACAGATAAAATCATCATCAGAGAGATCCGGTTGTTTTTTTTGTTTCTTTCTCTTGTTGTTGTTTTACAGTTGTAGTTGTTACTGTGTTTATTATAATTTAGGTTCTCGTTTCTATTATTTTTTCAAATAAAGAGAGCACGGATCCTAACACCAATGTCTTGAAGGTATGGGTGTGGACGTTCATTTCATCCACATCCCGTATGATACACCCACCCTGGGTGAAGTCAGCATTTGAATACTTAGGGTATACCAAAAGTTCTGATCACAGTTTTTTAAATTTAATAAAGCAATAAATATTGAATATTTTACTAAGGCAATATATAGTATAACGTCTCGTCTTTAATAATATATAGAGCAACTCTCTCTTAGACTTAGTTCTAACATCCTTTCAGACT